TTGATAAAATACAACACTTTTATGATATGCAGAACTTTATTAACCCAGGTGGGCCATTTTTAATGCAATAACAATAAGGTGGGGGGGGGGGGGTTCGAGAGGGGATCATTAAGTTATTTTGTAATTGTACCTTGTGAGAATCCAAGAAATACTCTTACAAAAAGGACCACAAGAATAGAAGGTGCAAAGTACAGTGTAAGCATTTGGGAAGTAATGACTGGAATTGCCAATGTACTAAGAGCACTTCCAAGTAAAGACCACATCAAGACAACATCTCCACCATAAGTATCACTGAGAAAACCAGCTGGCAACTGGGTAGCAAAATAACCCCAGAAAAATGCAGACAGCACAAGACCCTAGTATAACATAATAAATATACAATAAACATGTGAATTAGAGAACACAAGTTTAAATACATTGTGGGGATGAGCTACATGTAGGTACTTTTTCTCTTCATAAAGTACCAGTATTGGTTTATAGTCGAAGGATTTCGGTTGTACATGTAACTTATGAGATACAATGCATGGCTGCATAGTTAATATTAAATGATGGCTGTGAATGTTTATTGGTCATTTACATGTAGAACCACATCTACTGCGATCTACAACAAGACATTTTGACAAATCGAGAAAAAAAATCTAATAATTACTACAAAATAAGATGTTTAAATATTTGAAAAACAAAGATGTTTGACAACGTAAATAAGTACCAATGGACGATACCCAACACCCGTAAGCTTATTGTCAACGTGTTCAGTTTGATGTCTGTTGTTGACAAGTTTTTACGTGTAAGCGATTCGTACTCACCGTTTCGAGTTTATTCCACTCTAAATCCTTTGCAACCTCGACGACACACAACGACAAAGCTATTCTCGTTATGTCTATCAAAGAAACGGCTAAGAACAAACAAAAAATGAATTTGTAGCGGTCTTCTTTGGGCCAATACTCCTTTACTTTGGCCGAGATGGATGAAGCAACGTCTGGCAGACCGTCGTCCATTGAAACACGGACGGGTTTCATTCTATTAAAAAATAAATAAATAGGATCTTAAATACGATATCCACGGGTCTAGAATGCCATAAGGTAGCAACGAAAATGTTAAAGACCGATTGCTAACGATATATTTTCTTTATGGGCTAAGACATTGCGAAACAAAACACGACGCCCGAAGGCACAGATGCCAACGATTGGGTTGTTGTGCGTGGCCTGCCTGTGGAATTTGATGACGTCAAGGGGACTAGGGAAATAATTGCCATTACATTTAATTAATAAAACGTATAATATAGTTACAGGAGTTTAGCAAAAAAAAAAAAATCATATATTGCTAGGGAAAAAATCATATATTTTTAGGGAAAAAATTGACAGCCTTGATCGTTAAGAAATATTTTAGTAGTCAACAATTTGTGTTAATATTCTTCTATAATCCTCAGGTACTTTAGGAATTTACATTTTACATCATTCAACATTTTACATCATTCAACATTCAACATACTATTCAACATCATTCATTGTTTATCTTTTAAATATTATTAAGATTCTTGGTTTGGGCTTCCTTTTTTAATGACCTGTCACATTTCACACAGGAACCCCAAATTGCTTATATTTCGTTATTGTCACATGACGATCACAACCGGCTTTGTTTTTCTCTTTATAAGCCTTATAGGAAACGCAAAAAATTGCGGAAATTAGTCAAACTCAAAGAGACAAAGATCTGGCTCTTCATCAAGGTACGTTTCAAACCTTAAGTGTTTTTTCTTGTTATTCTAAAAAGAAGTTCTATATTTTTCAAGATCTGTTTACAGTTGTGTCTTTATTTGATCTTGAACACAAAGGTTTGTTTGCTCAAATTTTGTCTGGCATTACCTCACTATTACCAAACCTAGCTAGCCTAAGACTATTATAGGTTAAGTAGCTGAGTGAAAGCCTATTCTAGTTTAAATTATAGCTAACTTTGTATTCAAAAAATGCATGTATACGATATTGAACACCCTGCGATTATGTATTAAACCATATGTATGTATCCCAAACTTAAATTCAACAGTTGTTTGTTGAATAATGTAGGATGACATTGATGTATTAAAGAAGCAACAGAAAAAAAAAACAGATATGGATAACTCTGAAAATTCCAACTGTGCTGTGATGAATGATGATGACCAGCTTGCTCCTCTGATAAGAGGCAATAGCTCAAGTGTTAGCACCAGTACTGGTACGTCAAGCACTAAGACCCCTCGCACTCATCTTCCTGGAAAACCATCCAAGATTCATGTGACTCTGTGTATCTTGATAACAGAGTTATGTGAAAGGTTAACATTCTATGGCATTACAGCTAATCTTGTGCCATTTTGTCATGACATGCTGAATTTGGCAACACCTTTACCATCCACGATAAATCTTGTTTTTCAAGGTAATAATAATTATTAATATTACAAGCAGTACTCTTCTAGTTTTACTCCCGGGGGGAGGAGGGGGGTCCTCTGCCAGAATTTGGGTAGGGGTGTTCCACTGGGATTCTGAAAGGGGTACCCTGTTTATAATTAAAAAAAACTCAAATTTGTAGACCCTGCTTATGTAAAGGATATAATTTATTGACATTGAGTTCCTGTTTCAATTATCATGTCATCTCGCGTATCGTTTTTTTACGACCATAATAACCAGTTTCGGTCAATACGAAAACTAGAATCCCTGAATATGACAGGAAACTCAGGAAGAAATTGGAACTTGAGTGAAATTGCATACCCTGTTTATGACAACAAGCTCGAAAAACCTTACTCAGTGGATCATCACCGTATAGTCCGTATATGGGAGTAGCCCCCCCTCCCCCCTGGGGTTTTACTAATTTTGTGGAATTCCTAATTGTGTTATAGAAAAAAATTCCCTTATGTATGTGAAATTCGAATTTTAAAGACCCCCTTACCTCCAGAAATTCCAATTTTCTCCATACAAACTCTGTAATTTTGTTCTTAAAGTGCGCTCCGATTGGTTAATCAGTGTTGAGATTTGGTTAGAAGAACATTTTGAATTTTTCTCAATTAAGGAAGATTTTTTAATGATTTTGCTATGGTATAAAAGCATTAGTCATTGATGTTAGCATGCTTCCATTGAGGTTTGGCTGCACTTTTGTCAGTTGCTTAAGTACTCAAGAAGCTAGAGTAGCACTCGACAAAGCCTCCTGCCACTCTTAGCCTCCTTTATGCATGGCAACCTCCACCATGCACCCAAAACTTGATAGCAGCACGCTAATCAATAACCAATCCTTAAATCTGTGTTAGTAATGCTCTATTCCTTACTTCTGTAGGTACATGTTATCTCATCCCAGTGGTTGGTGGTTTGCTTGCCGACTCTTATATGGGTCGTTTCAATGTGATATACAGCAGCTCTCTTATATATGTGGTTGGAACACTCTTACTAGCTACAGTGTCACTAACAGATGATTCTTATTCAAAACATTTTGGAGAATCTCAAGTTATGGGAAATATAGCAAGGCAGATCTATTTTGCCCTGGCATTATTCTTCCTGGCTTTGGGTACAGGTGGGATTAAAGCCAATGTCTCACCATTCGGTGCAGACCAGGTCCGAGAGGAGGGTCCAGGTGCCATCCAAAGATTCTTCAACTGGTTTTACTGGTTCATTAACATTGGCTCATTTGTTTCCTTCACCCTTGTTGTATGGATTCAACAAGAAGAAAGCTTCTTCTTGGGCTATACTATTACAGCTTGCTCGATGTTTCTTGGTGTCTTGACATTTCTTATTGGTCGTAATAGCTATATCGTACATCCCCCTGGTGGTAGTAATCTGGCTGATTCTTTTAAAGTCATTGGACTTGCAATAAAGAGGAAAATGAAAAATATCCCCAAAATAAAAGGGGAAAGTTGGTTAGATCTGGCAAAGGACAGCAGAGGAGGAAGATTCTCAGCCACACAGGTGGATGATGTCAAGTCCCTTCTAAGAATATTACCTGTTTTTGCAATGTTTGTAATTTATTGGACACTTTATTCACAGGTATTCCTTACATGTATATATGTTTTACAAATGCATAAGGTTTGCATTTTGATTTGTAAAGTATCAAGTACTGAGTAACTTGTACCTATATATGAACATGAAAATTCGTGGATGAAATACAGCACTGCATGGGTGATTGGTTATTACCTAAAGCTTGTGCAACAAATTGATAAGATTACTATAGCAACACACGTTATATTATTTTAATTACAATTCTGCAATGTTATGTTCTTGCAAACATCCCCTACCTTGAACATTGTTGCATGCCTAATGTATTCCCTGCTAGCAGAGTCTCTCCTCTTTATCTCCGCCAAAACAATAGGAAAATAGGCTCTGCTAGCAGGGAAGCCTATGTACTGTATACATAATACATTTAATTGAGGGCTTTTGGCATTAATTTACTGGAGAAAATTGGATATGTTTGAATAAAAAAGGTTTCACAACCCCCCCCCCCCCCCCCCCCCCCCCCTCTCTACCCTGCACCATCAACCAAACCCACCAAGCCCCATCCACCAACCCAAAAAATAAATATAATTGAGGGCTTTTGGCATTAATTTACTGGAGAAATGAGTTTAGTGAAAATGTATTAAAATTTCACAACCCCCCCCCCCCCGGTTCTTGTTATGATGGTTGTGGTGGAGTAGTAGTGGTGGTGTTTGTTGTTTGCTGTTTGTGCCAGTGATGATCATGATGTTATTATTATTGCATTGGTGGTGATGGTGTGGTAATGTTGAGNCCCCCCACTTCATTTCTCCTGTATCCCTCTGTATTATATATTTTCTTACTATTTTTGGTTTACTTTAATTCAACAGATGCAGACTAGTTACCTCATCCAAGCTCAATACATGAAAATTAATTTGGGATTTAATTTCAATCTTCCTGCAGCATCTTTATCAATATTTGATATTTCAAGTGTACTACTTCTAATTCCATTTATGGACAAGGTCATCTACCCTCTACTACGCTACATTGGGATTAAATTCACTCCACTGAGGCGGATTGGTGTGGGGATGATTTTTGCTGCTGCCTCTGTTGCTGTAGCTGGCTTTGTTGAGATAAAAAGGAGGAATTGCTATGAAAATGGCGAATTCATCACGCAAAATCTCTTCAATAAGAATTTCAATGCTTCAAACATGACTGTATTTTATCAAGTACCACAATTTGTCCTAATTGGAACGAGTGAGGTTTTTACAAGCATAACAGGTAATAGAATCAATTAGACAATTATATCGAGTAGCACGCTAGTTTATGTGCTAACTGTTTTTATTTGCTATTACATTTATGCACCTCACTAAATGCTATAGTAATTTTTAGGGACTCCCCTCACTTTTATTAGAGGTTATTTTTATTTTCTTATTAGTTGAAATATACTAGCTGGGCTTTAAACTGCAGTTTTAAAAATTCTGCTAACTTGGAAATTTCAACTGTTGGTTATAAATAATGTTGTTTATACTGCCATCAGTCAAAACTATATTAAGGTGTAGTTAACTAATTTTATTATGGACTGCAACAGCAGCAGCAGCAAAAAAAAAAAAAAAAAAAAGAAAAGAAATTGAGCATACAGCTTGCAACTATGGATTTGAATATCAAAAACTGCAGTCGCTTAGTTAGCTGTTATGAGGGGAGAAGTCTAATTCTGCAATCATTAAATAATGTAAATGAAAGGAATAAAAAAATTTCAATGATCAGTTATTTTTTTAAAATCAAAATGTAGACTAGTATGAAAAACAGAGCACTGCTTGGCCAATCAGAATGCACATTTTTCAATGGTCCACTAGTTTCTTAATATATATATTTTATTTCCACAGGCTTGGAATTTGCCTACTCCCAAGCTCCAAGATGCCTCCAAGGATTGGTAATGGGGATTTTCTTGGTCACCTCTGGTCTTGGGAACTTCTTATCCAGTGCACTAACAAACATTGTATACAGTATCGACAAGAAGTGGTACCCAGAAGACCCCAACAATGGGAACCTTGAGTATTATTTCTTTCTCTTATCAGGGTTAATGTTTGTCAATTTTTTGATTTTTATTCTTGTGGCCCTTAACTACAAATATGTTGACCACAGGAGAGCAAGGAAAAATGTCATTCCTCAAAATTGGGATAACTCTCAATCTAATTCAAAGTCTTTAGAAGCTTGAATAATACATTACCAAATTGTAGGATGAGCATTGTTGGATGTGAGGACTGCAGAATACTCTATAAATACGTGGGTGTATAGGTGGAGGAGGAGGTTTAATAGGTTGAAAATATTTAGTAGATTACGGTGCATAAACGTACCATGAAATGACTATAAGTTCAAAGCTGGATGCATGAAGTTGATATTGGCCCAATAGTCCCTTCCATGGTCTCTTTGCCGCCATTTGAATTACTACGGGGCCACCCCAGACTAAATTACAATGTGCACTTTGCAATAGACTGCCGTCAATCAAACATGTTGACGTCATTTACACCTGGTGAGTGTGGCTCACAATACTTGTTAAAACAATCGATAAGTTTTGGCCCCTTTTGAATCACTCACGCATGTAAATGATGTCAATGTGTTTGATTGATGGCAGCCTATTGCAAAGTGCACGTCGCGATTTTTGTCTGGGGTGGCCGAGTAGCAAATCAAATGGAGGTAATGGAAAAAAATGGTAAAAAGAATCAAGAATCATTTTTACTAATATTTTGCACTGCTCAACTTAATAATGATCATTCATTATTATTGATTTTCCATTTCTCAACAATTGATAATAATTTATAATTATCACTCTACAGATACTGTAGGTATCATGTGAAATGTAATTGATATTTTATTTCTTCTACTGACTATGGGAATTATGGTAGCACATATGAAATTTCCCCCTTTTTTAAAAACCTGTCATTTAGTGCATTACAGGAATTCAAAACAAGGCATGTCCAGCATATCTCAAAACTTATTATTTTCTCAATTCATCACCTCCCTAGATTCATTATATTTTGCTTAGATGTGGAAAGTGTCGAAATTTGGTACTAAAATAATGGAGTTTTATTAAGTACAACTTGCTTTCATTTAAAAATAGCTATTATTAATTACTATTTTATTAGTTTTGTTTTATTAGGTTGGTCACCACTGTTTTTATTGCAACGTGCTGATCAAGACAAAATAAACCAAATCCACTGGCGCAATGTTTTCCCATTTCAGACCACATGTCCATATGTTGTATCCATATTCATGTGTCTTCTCATGCGCAACCTAATAAACAAAGAAATTATACTCAAGGGAATGACATGTGCTGAAATGGGAAAACAGTGGATTTAGGTCTATTTAAAATATCATGTCAAAAGGTTGATGGGCAATGTGATGTTCCAGAATATAATAAATATATATGTATATACCCCACCCACGGAGGGAATTGGGAATTCTGAAGGGGAGGGGGTCAGAGGAAGAACAACAATACAGAGCGTGTATGGAAGAAAATTGGAGGTCCATGGGGTAGGGGGTCCTTTTACAAATTCCCACCATGGTGGGGGTATGGATATTTTCCTGAACTACACAATAGACTACCAACCCTTATACATTCCCACTGTACACACATTTAGTTTTATGTTGTCTAGCAATTTATTTGATTGATGGTGCATTGTAGTCAAGAGAAAATGAACTGTGTGTAGGAGAAGGAAACTATCATGATATTAAGACATCAGTTGATGCTATTTTCAGAATCATTCATTTTGGGTTTTTTCCGGCATGCCTGTACTACTGCCCTGAAATGACCATTTAAGTGATCAAAGCCTTGGGAAATTAATATAAAAAACAAGGAATTTCAAGTATATCAAACTGAAATTTTGCAAATGTGACTTCAACTTCACGTTTTTTATATATTAAATTTTGTTTTATCTTTCAACGTATACAGTAATTTCAGAACAGAGTTGAACTAAGAAAAACTGCAATATAAATGATCAGCCACAAATGATTCTAAAGACAGCATCAATGATTCTAAAAATAGCATTAATTGTTTTTAGAGTGAAGGCATTTAAGCCGTGAAATAAAAATTATTAGTCAACGTGTAATAGTAAAATAGACACAAAAGAAAATGGAATTAGGGTCTACTAATGTGTATTAGTCTAATATGTATTTCACGGGTTTAATGACTTCACTCTACCACAGGGAACCCGGCTATATTTTTTTTTGCTTCTTTTAGAAAATTAACTTTGCTCTTTGTGGGTTTCCTGTGTTGTGATCAGTTTCCTTTTACATAAGCTGTAATCAGATCTGCGCGCTGTAATCAGATCGGCGCTGTAAACTGACAGCCCGTTGGTGTTTTGTTTCTTATGGGTTGCCTGTGGTGTGTAACGCACTTTCTAGTAAACACTCAAAAGAGGAGAAGGGCTGCAACAAAGCAAGTGTCCGATTCTAAAACCCCTGTTTAAATTATTCATGAAGGTAATTTATTAAAAAAAAACCAACGAAATGTTTGCTCAATAAATTAACTTTGGGTCGGGATGTTTTATTTTGTTGAACTCGTAAAAGTAACGATCCTAAAAAGTGATATTTAAAAGCTAAGTTTTAGTTATATGTTCACCTCCAGTTGCTCGGACCGCTTAGCTTATGAAACAGGATGTATCTGGTGTACGTCCGATTTGAAACAAAAGAATTTGACAGCTTGTTGACAGAGAGATCTAAATTTCCATATAATTTCTGGACATTTCCGGTATCGTTCAATATTTCTCGCGAATTCTAAGCGTGTGCCGCAAATCTGATATTATTATTCTAAAAAAATTGGAAATAAACTGTTTCGTTTATTGACGAAATGTTACAAGCTACGGTTTCAGAACTAATTCTCTTCGCAAGTTATATACGAGTTGGTTGTAGGACAAAGGCGTTTTGAGCTCTTGTTGTTCATGTTCTGTTTCAGTTGTACTTGTGCGTTTCTTATCCAAAACAGTTCAGCTTTCTCGATCTCTTCAGAAGATAGAGGTTTTGTGGCATTCTTGAAACTAGGTTTGCTTTTTGGACTTGCGTCCTTTTGATACATAGCCAGTACTCTTGCTGTCACTCTCGGCAATCTGATGTAGGATGAGAATCGCTCGATGTTGATTCTTACTTCTAACGTATCTGATTGGATGTTTTGTGCCATCATAACAGGTTGAACTGTCTCTGGRAGAATTATGCTTGTGGGTTTCTGGGTTATTGGCCATTCACTTACTGGTAACTCCAAGAATTCTGGTCCCTTTTGCCAGGCACTGTCAACATCTAGTTCATCAGGTTTCTTGCCACGTGTTAACCAGTCTGCGATGTTCAGTTCTCCGTCAATCCAATACCAATCAGAGGGATTTGTCTTTTCCTGAATTTCATCTATGCGCGTGCCAGCGAACGTATTGAATCCGTATGATTCTTTCTGGACCATAGCTTGCACAATTTGCGAATCCACAAGATGGTAGAATTTCACAAAGTTGTATCTTGATTCTTTCTCTATGAAGACCTTTAGACGCTTGTTTAGAACTGCTCCACACAATTCAATTCTATCAATTGACATCTTCTTTACTGGGGTCAGGCGATTCTTCGACATGATTAGATTACTCTCAAACGTAATAAATAGTTACTCAACAAAACACAAAATTTGAATTCCCTTGTTTACAGGGTTTTACATTTTGAACATTTTCGAACAACATGACGCAGTCGAAACATGAAAATCATCAAGACTTCCTGCTGGTTGTACTAAAGTAGCTGGTCCGAGCAACTGGAGGTGATGATCATACGATAAAACTTGCTTTGTTGCAGCCCTTCTCTTCTTTTGAGTGTTTACTAGAGAGTGCGTTACCAACGGTTATTGATTTGAATTTAATTGGCTATCAGTTTACAGCGCCGATCTGATTACAGCGCGCAGATCTGATTACAGCTTATGTAAAAGGAAACTGATTACAACACAGGAAACCCACAAAGAGCAAAGTTAATTTTCTAAAAGAAGCAAAAAATATATAGCCGGGTTCCCTGTGACTCTACTAGTCAACATGTAATAGGCAAATAGATACAAAAGAAAACAATAGAATTAGGGTCTACTAATGTGTATTAGTCTAATATCTATTTCATGGGTTTAATGACTTCACTCTAATATAGCATCAATTATTCTGAAAATAAAAGTCTATCATGCTTTGCTGTTAATTACTGTATCACTATTAATACTAGTATAATTTTTTTCAAATAAAGTTCAGAGGATTTTCTGGGACGTATGTCTTTATAGTGAGTCTTATTAATTTTCTATAATTTACAAGACTATAACTTCTGAATTTAACCTTGTGATTAACAGATTATACTCCTGTTTTGTGGTCGCACAATATTATTTTGTAAATTACACTCCACTCAAATCTTCAATAATTGGATTTCATTATCATATTTACCATTATTAAATGCCTATCAGTGATATCCTAAGAGAAGAGAATTAATAAAAATAAAATAAGTACTGATAGTCATGATTTTAGCAAAGTTTCAGAGGCCTGGTAAATTTATAATCAGTGTCAACTGTGTCTGTCCAGTTACATTATTTATATCTACTACTAGATACCAAAAGAGAGAGACTGTTGTAAACCCAAACATAAATTTCCTGAGTCCCTTTCATGAAACACACTCTCTATCACACTAACATAAATTACCCGGCTTGCTTTAATTTAGCTGTACATCAACGCACTTAGCACATATATAAACTCTTAGCCTGAATGGGCCATAGGTCCAGGGGGCAACTCAAAACAAAGATGAGGGAAAATATTTCAATTGAAAATATTATCATTAAATATAGTTCTGTGCGATTGTCTTTCTTTTATAAGTAAAGGTGATTGATGTGCCATCTTAATTCAGGCTTTTTTTTCTTTTGTGGCGAGCTACCCCCTAGATGTCCCATAATGTCTTGCAATCCAAGATTGCTGCCATATTGTTGAAGTAGTCAATTGTCAAGTTCTCTTACCACACATCTACCCTGGATCATCTGAGGTTGTTTTTCTTCCCTTCTGTAGGGCTAAGTGGCAGATGATCTAGATTGGAACTGGTCAGGATTACCATGACGTGACAATGTATTGCAAAAATAACAGCTATAAAATAATCATGATTATGATAATGAAAAGAGTGGACCTGGCCACTTGGAACATCTCTTGATTAGTCCTTATGAGATACAGACTGAAGTGTAGCTTTTTTCCTCCATAGACCCTTACAGAGTACAGCTCAATTGGAGGACATAATAATAGATTTCCAATTCTCATGAGATTGAAATTGTTTTGTTCTGTCCTCCAAAGAGCTTCTTTGACATCAGATGCAAGGGGTCTAAAGGCCATTAAACCCAATATTCAACAGTGTTCCATTTTTATGTTCCACATTTTTGTGCCTGCTATGGCTGCAATATAAATTTTAAATTATGTTACCTTTTATTTCTGCAAAAGGCATTTAACTGCTATTAATCATTCTTCAAAACCTTTCATACTGTAGATGAAAATCTCCTTTCAGGGCATACTTTAACCTTTCCATAAATATTTGAAAACCTTTCTTTTTTTCATTCACTTTCTATAAAATTCTACATATTTTTTCCTGAAAGCAATAGAAAAATAAGTAATATTTTAATACTGTAGTTGAAAAAAAAAATGAAATCAATATATGAATTCTGAGGAGTACTTAGTCTCCTACGCAACCGCTATTAGTGTCGTCACGCCATGCTCACTCCCCTAATAGCGGCTGCTTACCTGAGCACAACATTCGATTCCCTTTGTCTGTGGTTAACCAATCAGGGATCGGTGTGACATTGATTTACCGCTCCATTCGAAGCAGGAGAATAATCAACATTCCCCGAAAACTAACTGAAGGTGAGGATAAATGTTATCTCTGTTCTCAATCTTGTCTGAAGAATAACAAGATTTTTTTTTCGTTTTTAACAAAAGTTCTGAGATATTTCAAGTCTTATCATATCTGCGATTGACGTGGATTTGAATAATTAATCGCAAATTTTGTTCGTTTGCATAACAACGCTTGCTACAAAGTCCTCTTAAAGTTTGATAATTGTGCTCGCGATCAGCTCTAGAGGGGCAGCAAAATCTCTTCAGTTAAAGAAATGTTCTGCAGTTCTACAGTTCTACAGTTAAGATAAGTATCAATAATAGTAGCTTGTTATGAGATTGATCAGGAGTGACACAACAACAAGTGTTCTTGCTCATTCGTAAGGTCATCAACACGGATGGTTAAAGCTTGAAATACGAGAGATTCTCCGAAGCCTGTCGGCAGATTTATAAACACATCTCTTTTCTCTTATACTATGAAACATGTAGCTACCCTCCAATAATTGTTAAAAGTCGTTATTTGAAATGTTGTGCTCCCTTTCTCCAAATACTCTCTCAAAGTGCGCAATTTTGTAGTGATAATGGCGCGAGTTAGTTCTCGATTTTGGGACTAGAGCTGTGATTGGTTAATTTGAAGGAATGGAATGTTGTGCTTGGGTAAGCAGCCGCTACTTAGGGGAGTGAGCGTTGCGTGATGAAACTAATAGCGGCAGCGTAGGAGACTAAGGAGTACTGTATAGTAGCTCATTTGAATGGATGAAAAGATCAAATGAATGAAATTAATAAATGCAAGGAAGACATATAAATGGAGAATAAAGTCAAAAGGAGCAAGGTTTAATAAAATGAAAAAAAGAATGCATGCATGGATGAAAGGAAGGAAGGATAGGAGGATGAGTAGATGTTGTGTGAGTAAATAAATGATTATTACTACTAGATGGATGACAGCTGACTTACATTGCTACTTTGCTGAGCTGTACCCTGTGGTTGTGAGGCAGCATTTACATTTGGCCTTGGAGCTGCAGCACCTACTTGTCCCCTGGTAACATTACCCACTGGTCTTGCCTGATGTTGTTGTTGTTGTTGTTGTTGTTGTCGTCGCTGCTCTTCTTCTTGTAGCTGCATTGCCAATTGCATACTTAAAATAAAAATCATACATGATTGAATGCAATTGGGATTTCAATTTCAACTTGAAATTTATATACTAGGTACTGTAAGATGGTTAATAGAATTTCTCCTATGATTATGCTTTGGAGGTATTTTGAAAGGTTTCTTGGTCAACCCCTCTCCCACCTTCAACTATGATAATGTATTAAAGTATTAGATGTGTGCAAGAAGTACTAATAAGGTTCTTACTCAGACCATTCTTGCGTTGTCATCCCAGTAGGGTGTGGTGGCTGTTGAACAGGAGGTGTAGAACTTTGCCTTGCTTCATCTCTGGATTGTTCTTCTTGAAGGGTTAGAGCAACAAGATAACTAAAATGGAAAACAGTCATGAATACAATTAATCAACCATTTATTCAGTCCAAGGCAGTTAGCAGTCAGTCAGCCTCTAAGTCAGACAGTCAGACAACCAACTATACAATCAATTTCCAGCCTTTCTTCATCGCCCCCCTCCCTGCAGGTAAAGCTCCTCCTTTTTTCTCCTTTCTTGTCAGGGAGAGGACGAAAAAGAAGCTTCTGCCCTGATCGGTTAAATTATTTAAACTAACTGCTGCCCATGATTGTGAATGAAAAAAATTTGAACATTTAATGCATGACAAATGAAGAGTCTGCTGTAAGATTTTAGAAACCACACTACTAATGAGCATATCCTTTTACAGTTATTATAACTGCTGACTATTAAATGACCCCACTATTTCTGATGCCATCAGTTGCCTAGTAACGCTCGCTCATGTACAACAGAAAAGGTCATGGTTTGGGGCAGAGTCTCGTTTCTCTTGCAAATGATGATCCAGCAAAAGAAAAAGACTCTGTCAGCAATGAAAGTCTCCCTCTACCCCCCCCCCCTCCTCAAAAAAAACAACTTATTCAGTCTACACCTCACCGTACCCCCGTAGAGAGACCATAGGAAACCCTCATCACAAAGGAGAGAACACACCAAAAAACTCAACTCACAGGTACAGTAGGTCATCTGGGAATTGAATCCAGGTGTGAACTACAAAGTGGTAAGAGGCAGCATCATAGCAGCGCAAGCCACCCATTATGCCCATTAATTTGTCTCCTAAGTTGTTTTCAGAAGACCAGTTATCTTTCAACAAATTTTAGTCTTGAAAGTGTGGCTTCACCTTAGAAAAGAGATGTCATTGGCAAACAGCAGAGTGTACAGTTATATAACTTACTCTTGGTCTTCCTGAGTAATACCAGCTGTGGGTGGAGGTTGTTCGGCTATGTTAGGGGCTGCTGCAGGCACTACTGGCTGCGAAGTGGATAGGGTTTTGAAATTTGCATCCACAAAATAACCATCTCCCTCAACATTGGAAAGTGACTCCCACATGACTTTATCTTCAGTTAGGAAGCCCTGATCAGTTACTAGAAGAAACAACTCATCCTAAAGAGGAAAGAATAAAAATTAGTAGATAGAAGGGTGAAAAGTATCACTTCAGTCACAAAATTAATGTTTGGTAACATAGGATGTGATATTCAAGACAACTGTGTTGAACTTCATAGACTTTCCATTTTAGGACAAATGCCATTACTTTAATTGATAAGCTATTTTTTCCCCCTTAAATCATATTCAATGGAGGGATTCAAACAAACACAATGTTACATGTACTTTCAAGGTGTTCAAAGTGAGATAACATTAAACCTAAGCATGCAGAGCCCTATAGACCTCTTGACTTAAAACAACTTTGCAGAGAAATTGAATAAAGGCATTTGCTCCTGTAATATCATTTTATTTATTATATACTGTAGTTAGGATTATACACACATGTCACTTATTGGTTGAAAACTGTGCTTTATTAGTGAACAGAGTACTGCTAGATCCTGCGACCATCTTTCTTTTTGGGTAAATAAATTAAATTCCCAAAAAAATAGTATCTACGTATGATAAAACAAATTAAAACAGCTTTTAACGGCTTTTTATGGCTTATGCTTCTCCTTACACTTCTTTCATGCTTACACCACTTCCTGCGTGCTTTATTACTGAACGGAGCACAGAAAAAGCTGTTTTATTTGTTAGTAAAAGTTAACATGACTGTAGACTGTACAATCCTTGTAAGTCCTACTCACCTTATGTTTAAAGAGAGTGTTAAAGTGGTTGTTCCTGAAGAATACACATAGCTCCTCATCACCTACTTGAGCATTAAGCTCACATAACCCATGATAGGTAAGCTGAGTAGCAGTGTGATTAAGAAATGTCTCAGCAGCAATTCCTAGAAACATTAAGTTTTATAAATCTTATATTAATGGTTATTACTGTAAGTAGTAAGTTATACAACTTGAACAAAAGCATGCTACCTTTGTTTCCAAAAGTGCCATGAATTGTTAGTATTGAATGATAAGTGTATTTGTTAAATTTACTGTGTTTATATCTAGGCTTGAATGACCTTCACATGACAAATGTATTATGTGCAGAAAACTTCTTATTGTGATAACCCTACCTTCAGAGACTAACTCACTGTCTGCTCCATCCTGTTTACTGGCAATGATCTTCTCTACCAGCTGATTATAGCTGAGGCTGTTGATAGCTTTGACAGCTTCTACATTTTGAGGATCTACTAACCAGCCATGCATGAGTTTGATGTTCAGCAAGTCAAATACAACACACTCTGGAGTGAATTCAAAGTCTGTCACCCTGTAAAGTAACAGATGCCATATCTTAGCTATATTATGATGGGGAATGGCGGTGCAACTTTCTAGCAACCTCTTAAAAGATAGAGTCAGCAAAAATATTAACTAGTGTATGACTGCACAACCAAGGGCTGCACATACAGAAGACAAGTACGCAGACTTCCCACTCTTCTGATAATTGTGTAGTTCCAGAAATTATCCATACCCACCCCACAAAGGAATTTGGAATTTCCAAAGAGTGGGGAGGTCTGAGAAAGCACAAAAATTACAGAGTTTGTATGGAAGAAAATAGGAATTTCTGGGGGGGGGGGGGGGTTGTCTTGAAAGAATTCCTCTGTGATGGGGGTATGGATAATTTTTGGAACTAAACATAAGAAAAAAATCCGTCTTTTTACAGAGCACATCCTATTTTTCGTTGCCTTCACAGGTATAACCCTTGGGCCAAAAAAGGGCTGCCTTTGCAATTACATTATGGAAATGATTAGACCTGCATGTGGCTCAGATGACTATTCTTAGTAATGGCTGTCCCATCCCCAACAAGATGATTTAAAAGAGAGCACTTGTTCATCAGTTGAATTACTGTCAAGAGTCATCCTCTATAGACAGAGTCAATAGATTGATTGATTTATAATTAATTTTCCCAACCAAATACAAAATTCCCTAAAAAATTCATGATCTTGCAAAATTTCTAGACTAAATTTTCTGTAACTTCCACATAAGATCACTACTTGCAACCACCTCACCAAGAATTTATCACATGAATACTTTTTTACACAATTCGTTGCTGACTTTCGTATAATGCTTATGCATTCTACAATTTTTCTCATGTTGATTACACAGTTTTTTAAACTTTCATTACTTTGCTGCTACAGGGAAAGCTGCAATATACATATTAGCAAACTGTATCAGTGAGCAGGTCTACCACATTTACCTGTACAGCAAAAAACAAAGGGATAAAGAATGAAAATGAATAAAAATGTGCTCTTCACCCTGTAAACTTGACATTTACATCTAGTCCTGTCTGTAGCTTGGACATAATTCCAATGGCATCATGCATATTCTGCTCATAATTCAACTGAGCTCCTTCTGGTAGTGTCTATTATGTAAATCAAACCAAAACAAAGTTAAGCCTGACAATGACTGTGAAAAGCTTGTCAGCATGAATAAGCTCATGATGCGATAGAGCAAGGTATATGCCAGTACAAGATCAAATTGTGCTAGATTTTTCTCCATCTAACTGATACCCAAAACATTGTGAACATGGACAAACAACGTCCTAAACTAAATCACTGCACATACATATGACACCAAGCTTTCCCACCACAGTCATGTGAAAACTGCTCTAATTATGCAAAAGTAAGTAAAGATGTCCATACTGTAGTTGGGTTTTCATTTTAGTTTTGAAATCATAGGGGAAAATTATGAACTGCCAGAGAGTCCTGCAGACCAAGTGAACATTTATAAATAACTAAGCTTTGATGGTATAGTTTAAGGCAGAGAAGTCTGCTCAGTTAACAGGGCACCCATTTTCAAATCCTGACCCTCAATGAAACTTGATAAAGTAAATCCACACCGGCAAGGTTCTCCAGGGGCAGATCCGGGGGTGGTGATCAAAGTGGGTGGCTAGTCACCACCCCCCCCCCCCCCCGTTTTGCTGAAACTTCTCAGTTTTATCATTAGTAAGCCACCCCCTTTTCCTCACATTCCTGGTAAAACCTTTGTTACAGTCACCCCCCCTTTTAAAATTCCTAGATCCGTCCCTGAACCCTCCACATAAAAGAAATAAGCTTAGTTCTTACGTACCTCAGGTGCTTGTATGAAGATACAATCACCAAGATACTCCATCAATTGATTGGCACTAATGATTTCCTGCATAGATGGAATGCTGATCTTTCTTTGCAGGACTAAAGCATTCATTATAGCTATCAATGGACATGGGCCATTTTCGTTTTGAGTAATAATTGGAGTATTAAGACCCTTCCATTTCATCCACTTTATATGGTACAGAGACTGTATTTTTTCTGGTTCAGTTGACGTTGAAGGGCTCTCTTTTTGTCCCACTTGCGTTTCATCTACTGATAATTCATTTTCTTCACTATTTGGTCGAATATCCTCAATAATTGAAGACTCTTCTTCTCTATTTGTATTTTCATCCTTTATAGCCAGAGAACCAACATCGGAAATTCCTTCAGAAGTTATATTTTGTTCTTGTTTAACTAAGTTCGATTCTTCATTAGAACTTTTGTTTTCAGGAGAAGATTCGACAGCATCTTCTTTGCAAATGGGTTTGGTTCCAGCGTCTTCCTCAGTCGAGCTGCATGCAACATTGTTATTATGCTCACTTCGTGACGAGCTCTGTTCTTCTTCTGTACGTTCTAAATCTGCAGAAACTGTCTCTTCTATACCCTCTTTCTCTAGTACTTTCACTCCACCGTCACCAGCATCGTCAGAATTTGAAGAGTGATTCACATTTTCGACAACGACAGTCTCTTCCTCGGCTTCTCTTGGCGACACATCAGCCATTTTTACCCCAATAATTAAATATTTTCGACGCCTTAACGAATTTTCTTAGCCACGAATTGAATAACAAACGAGTGTCCTAGCAAAGAAAAGGAGCTCTTTAAAAGCACACAGACGAATTAAACTCCAAGAAAATGTTCATTCTGCAAGTAAGTAAAAGAAAAATATGCTGAGCTGATCCAAAAATCACGCACCACATCCGCCTAACGTCACAGTCCTATTTTTCTTTTAAAAAAACCCTTACCTGCTACTACATGTCTCAAATTCTTGCCTAAATTGTCTTTTGATGTCAAAGCTGCTGTAAGGTTTGTGTAATTCTATTTTTTCAGCTTGAATATGTTGATAAGGTTCCTTTGAATGCGCTCCTTCACTCAGCCGAGTGTTACTGGTCTGGATTATTTAAGAAATGACCACAAGTTTTCCTAATGACGTAATTTAAGAATGTATTTTTATGCAGCCACGGTCATAGCGAAAACACCGACTTATAGAATCAGCGTAATAAGACATGAATAATTCAGCTTTTATAAGAGGTAGGAAAGGTCGAAAATCTACATATCTGTCCTTTTGTCCGCCATGTTGAATAACAAGTGAGAATTAGAATCCCCACAATGCATTGCATAAACAGATCTTTTTCGATTCCGCGCTATCAAACAACAATTTTTTTGCCAAAAAAATGAATTATGTGAGCTCAAAAATAGCCTTTTGTTAAATGGTTTGATACATTTTGCACTTTAACTTGCGGTCTAGAAAAAGATAATGAACGTTTATTCAGGTTTCAAGGACAGTATATTTTTGGAGGCTCAATATCTTTGAAGTAAGAAATATGTTATGCATGTTTAATTTTTTGGTTTTTAATCCTTTAAATTTAGGGATTTTATTTATTTATTTACTCTTTCTCAAAAATTGCCAGAGGTAATAGTGTAGGACAATACTATCCCTACCGAGAGGGGGAAGAGTCGCATATTTGCTCATTTCAAGATGGCGGCAGGAGATCATGAATATTTATCATTTGGCACTAACTTATCTCCAAGGAAGCAGAATAAACGGAACCAATGAATTTTATTGGTTCAGAATCAAAAGTCGAAATTTATTAAGCTGGGGTTGCCAATAATTGCAAAAATTACACCGTCCTTTATAAAGGAAATCGTATATTAGTCTGATTGAACAAGACAAAACTGCAAAAGTCACGAAAGAAAGATAAAATAAAGTGCTTCGACTGACGTAAATCTATCAAGACTTGTAAACAATGGCAAATGTAGCTCAACTCTTTACCTAAGCAACCTTGGAATGCCGAAGTTAATAATGGAAGGAAAAAGATTATTTTGGCTCTCGATTTCCTGGCGTTTCTAGGAGATAAAGAACGCGAGAAAAGAGGTGGCACACTACTGTCAAAAGAGCGTAAAAAGAACCACATCGAAATAGCCATGAAAAGCAACAGTCTTCGGTATTTATTTTCAACCCTCGTCTTTGTCTCTCTATTAATCACCCCGACGAAACTCGAGCCAAACCACGGCACTCAGATCTTCTCTGGTAACCAATACTGGAATACTCGCTACCCAAGCCTTGCACATCCATCTGACTGGGAAGGATTTTGGAACGCGCAAACAGATGGGCGCAAAATTTACGAAAGAAGTAACAGTTACACACAGAGTGTTCAATGCACGGGATGTTCTTGTAATAATGCCAAAGGAATACTAGAGTGCAATGGTTATACAGGGAGTACTTTGTAAGTATGATTGGGTGAATTGTTAGTGTTTTTTTTAGCGATATGAGCTTAAAGCTTTATATTAGATTTAAGAGTTTTATAAGCTTAATTTTAAAATACTCCTCGATACTAACAGGTGAGTCGAATATAATTTTTAAATAAATACATTATGTATTCGTTTGCAATAGTTTAACAGGGACGGCATAACCAGGGGGCTAGCCCCCCTCCCACTCTCCCACCCTCCCCACCACCCCTTCCCCCCACTTACAAGAATGGCATACAGTGGAACCCCGTTAATCCCGCCACCGAAGGGACATTCAAAAGTGGCCATTTTAACGGGGTGGCCGTATTAAGCGGGCTGTCAAAAATATGTTAAAAATGTGTTTTATTAATCAGTACGAAACTACTAAACAAATTAAGTGCAATAATGCATATTGTATTTTTAAATAATGTTTCTAAAACTTCTGATGCTATTGGAGCTCAGTTACAACTCAACTTCAGTTGTACTTTAAAACTTTAAATTATACAGTAGTACAGGACTGTAGATATAACAGTAGAACAGAGAAAACTGAGTACAGTAACAACTACTTTTTAAAATAGGCAGTGACTTTGCTCTGTACAGACGAATGAAGCTTCCTTTCAAGCCATACTGACTCGAGGCTTGATATCACACCAGACAGGATCAGTATCGGCATGGCTCGTTTTAATACTGTACTGCTATAAAATAGATGCGGACATACTTTAGCGCATCGCGCTGTACGTGTTTCTCTGTTTGAAGTTGTGGTGTTGATTCTGATTCTATAAAAAGCATTACTGTAGAATGTTAACCGAATGAATAAAAGAATCACAGATTTTGCAGCAATAACTTTACGGTATTTACATTAAAATCTAAACTGTAACCTATTTGTCCTGGCCGTAATATGGGGTCAAAAAGTATGGAAGTTTGTCAATCAGCCACAAAAAAAGTGGCTGTTGGCCGTATTAAGCAGTTACATTTTACAGTAAATGTATGGGCATTTCGTCGGGACCCAAAAGAGCTGACCACAATATCGGGGTGGCTGTATTAAGTGGGTGGCCGTAAGGCAGGGTTCCATTGTATCTTCTTTTCTTAGTTTGAGTTCTGTTATAAAGAAAAACAGAGATTTGCCCACCGCACTTTAAAAAGTGCTCGTAGCCTTCCCCAACTATTAAAGTGTGCCCTTGGCTAATGAATGCCTAGCTAGCTTGACCATCTGAAGCCCATCCCCTCTAGCCTTCATTCCAGAGGAAAAGTTGCGGGCCCCAGCCTCTCCAGTCCCTGGGTCCTGATGTTGTGAATCTGAATATTCTTTTACTTTGGAAGGTAGGTAGGACTAGTCTTGAAACTTGTGAACAGTGCAGTTGTCTTTAAGTCTGGATAACCGTATATCAATGATCCTCTAATAAGTCCCTCATCCTCCCCCTTCTTATAAGCTCCCAGTCCAAGAGGGGGGTCATTAAAGGAAATTTGGTATGTATATTGATATATCTACCAGGTGTTATAAATTATATATTTTTAGTGCACTTTAACTCTACCTGATCTTGTCTATTTATTCTTTATAAGGATTCTCAAGAACAAGAACATACCCGTAATAGATGAGCTTCCTGTTTCCTTGGTTACCATGTAAGTTACTGTATTGATTCATCTGCTTTTTTGGTTTTCTCTTATACTCTCGATCTTGTGTGAAGTTCCATATCCTTGTCACAATCTTTGTCTAACATCTTCATTTAATAAGAACATTAAATTAATTAACTATTATTAAAGTGAGTATTACAAACACTTTTCATTCAAGTGCAATTACTGAGTGGACTGTGAAGCACCGGTATTGCATGTTTATTTTTTTTGCTGATGTCAGAGTGAGAACATTTTTCCCTTTCCTTTTTGAGGCTCACATCATTGGTTTGAGTACAAGTAACAATTTATTAAACTGCTAGTTGTGTATTACAGCCAGATAATTCTACTCCTGAAGCTGTATTTTTTCTTGCCCCTGTGGAGATCATACAGCTGTAGAAAAAAATGGCTTCTTTCACTTATAAAATTATCTGGCTAATACCCTTAACTAGCAGTGTAATAACCTCTAATAATGAATTATTATAATAAATAATAATAAATAACCTCTATGCACAAATTTAATGGAAAGCATGGTTTGCATCTAGTCTTGAAAGTGCTTGCTCACCTCTTACCATTGCATTACCTATGTTTGATTTCCAAATTTGAATGTCATATGAGTTGAGTTGCTTGTTGGTTCTCTTGCTTTACTTCAAGGGTTTTCTCCTCCTTCTCTGGTTTCCTTAAATGTGCAAAAATCAAATTCTAGAATTTCAATTAAAATTTAACTGTTAAAAGCCATGCAGTGGAGATGCAATTGCTAAATCCACATATATACATATACATTTTTTTCAAATTATGCCAGCATTATTTTGTAAAATACGTAGTTACAGTATTTTAATTATACAGCTTCTCATTAATCCCATATAGGTAACTGTCCAATTATTTTCTTAGTTGGACAGGTCTTGTTGATATGGGATTAATTAGGTAGCTACATAATTATATAATAGGTAATGGGATTTCATGGCTCCCCAATCAAGAAATAATCAGACTCAAAAAATTCCTCTGACTGCCAAATTGGACTCAGCCTACGGCCTCATCCAATTTTGTTAGTCCTCGGAATTTTCCTCGTCCAATTATTTCTTAATTGGACAGCATGGAGTCCTATTACATATACTAATTATTTAATCTTTTATTGTAATATGTTTAGGAGTATACATTCCAGTAGTTTAACTACCCTTGGTGAGACTGTCTTCCACAACTTAACTTTACTTAAGAGTCTGTAAGTATTGGTACTCTCTTCGTTGACTATATTTACCATGGTGAGAAAGCCTCCATGGTGCCACATGCATTGTAGCCTACATGTAGCTTTGGTACAAACACCTTTTATTCATCATGCCATGTACTGTAGAGTTGTGTTCCTATCAAATCTTGACTACATTATGCATGCATCATACAGTATCTATTGAACTAGGCCATAGACTAGGCCTATAAAACAGTCAATTAAAAAGTACCATTCATGACAAAAATGCAAAAAAGAGTCCATGAAATCTACAGTCCTCTGATTTTGACTTTTTTTACTGTGAGAAGTACAGTATTGGCATCTTGTGGGTTCCAAAATATAGTCTAACATTGAAGCTGAAAACAAAATAATAGGTGCGAAGTATTTTATTAATTACTGTGTGGACACTCAAACCAAGGTTTTTTTAACATTTTTCGAATTATCCAATCAGAAGTTAGATTCCTACCTACAGTATGTTTCAACATTTTTTTTGTGCGATTCCACAGTCTGTTGTGTTGTTGTTGCCATTAAAGTTGAAAAAAAATTATTTTCCAACATCTACTTGGTCAATGAACACTATTTTAATTTGTTTTTACTTCTGTAAATTATTGCAGAATTTGTTACAGTTTTGCATACTACAGCTGTACCACGTACCAGTCTAACTTACACTGTTTTATGCTAATTTTGTTTTCTTTTTTTTAACTAGCACTATTTTGAACAATTTAGTAATAAGTGTTTCACAGAATATATTGTTTGGACTCTAATATTGTCTGATTACTTTATGGCAGATCAATAACACACAATCCTCTAAAGGATTTTCCTGATCTTTCCAAGAATTCTGCCCTACAAAAGCTGTAAGTCCTGTTTTGTAAATTTTCTACTGAACATTGAAATTTGATGATCATATTAATTTTAAATAAGTTATAATATTCCCAACTTTTCCTATCAATATATTACTCAACGTTTTGCATTAAAGTCAGTTCTAGTTATGCTAATCCATTTCATTGGTCCTTTTGATGTGGTCAAATAATGAATTGGGGACGACTGTTAATATTAGTTAGAGTAAAAACTGTAACTGACCCTGTACTACAGAGCACTTGGCAAATATAGACTTTTTAAAAGGAAGGGGGGCATCACTGATCACTAAGGATGAAAAACAATTTTAATCCTTTTTGGTATTAAAAAAAAATAAATAAATAAATAAATAAAAAATGAATTTTTTTAAAAAATCAGATAACCAAAGAAAATAAGATAATTTAGATTGCAGCTTAGTCTGTGCTTCAATATAAAATTTTAATGTCCTTCACTCAAGCTTAAGAAAAGTAGGGGCATAGATCTCCCTTACCACTCCCTATAAATTAGATCTGCCACACACATAATTATTTTATAAATTGTATTTTTTTAACAATCACTGTTTTTATTGCTTATATCATTTTTGCAGCTATACCTATTTTTTATTAAAACTTTTCTTGTTAAATGTGCCTTAAAGATGTGACAGGCATCTAATTTTGAGTTCCAGCTTAATAGGAACAAGAAAACCTGATGGCATGGTTAATGAACTTTACCAAGTTTTGATTATTTTTACATAATCATATGCACCCATTTCCTTCCCTGCTGGATGTGTTAACTAATGAGACATTTACTAGCTGTTAATTTATTGCGTGTTTTAGTGACTTGTATAATAACAAGATAAAACTGTGGAATCACAACTATACTGCACTACCATCATCCTTGGAAAGAATGTAAGCTTGCCAAAGTATATCTACATATTATCTTTATTTTATTACATTAGTGCTGACAATAGAATGATTGTCACAGATTATATTGACTCCGGGGGGGGGGGGGGTACTCCCCTATATTATCCACTATACATGCACGTGCTGCCTAACAGGGTATGGTTTTCAGTGATTCTACTCTGGAACAGGGTATATAAAATCGTGCTCGCTCTGGGACAGGGTATATGAAGTCACGCTCTCTCCTCTTTGGAACAGGCTATGTATTTTTGCACTAGCGGAAAAGCTTATGGTTTTCAGCTATCTTGCTCTGGAACAGGGTATGAATTTCAGCAATTTTACTCTGAAACAGGGTCAGGGTTCTGAGGGCTCAGCGGCCCATCCCTACCCTAAACGGGTAAAAAGACCCCCCCCCCCCCAGGATATTGACATAATAATCATTTTATGAAATGAGGGTTCAATATTATATATTTAATGAATAGTCAGCAGCTTGCAATTTCCAGCCAGAATTGACATTTAACCAACCACACATCTCTGATAACGTGTTCAATGATCACATGTCTGGATTTTGTCAGCTGCCATGATAAGTTTTATTTTTGACCCTGCTGTAATGTGCATATTTAGAAATATTTAACTTTCAAAATATGTTATGTATTAATCTTATCAAATGGTTTTTTTCAGTATTTTGATTAAGAATGAGATTGACTGGATCCCAGATAACTGGTTTAAACTGCCAAACCTGAAATATATGTAAGTCTATGAATTGAAAACTATAAAATAACTCAAATACAGAATCCCATTCTTGAGGCAAGCCTCATCATGCATGGTATCAATATTTTTTATTTTTAGTGCTTTGAGCTATAACAAGCTTAAAACTTTCCCTGGACATGCATTCATCAACTGTGGACAACTGAAATATCTGTAAGTGACTAATAAAATTGATTCCTTGGTGAAATTTATTTGAAGTGATTTTTTGTTACCTGCAGCACGTTTTTTGAAGTCAGAATACATTCCAGCTGATTGTGCATTATTCATTATATTGAGGACACTCTGCATTATCTATCATGATTATGAATATTATATTAAATACTGTAATTCTAAATCTTGCGTTCTGATTAGTTGGGAGCGCCTGCTTTGTAAGAGCACATGTATTTTTTTGAAAGAAATAAAAAAAATTCTTGCTGTGCTGAACGTGTGGAGTTGGGGAGCTCTTGGGGATTGGCAGAACACTCGACAAGTGTTGAGAAGCACTCCACTATGGATGGTACTTCTCCTAACACTTCTCTCAACTCCTGCGGGCTTTATAACTGCACACAGCATGCAGTGCACCAGCATTTTCTATTTCTTCAACAGTGTATAGATACTATATAAAGATGAAATCAATTTATTAAAATGTTTACTATATTTTTGTGTTTGTGCTTGTGTTTGTGAAGGTCAGTTGACCACAACCAAATAGAAAAGATTTCATATCCAAACCTGGAACCTTTCTTTGGAAATAATTCACAGCTGGTTCACCTGTAAGTATGTGATATATAGTGGAGGAATAAGCAATTTAGATGACATATAAATGGCAGTTGGAACCAAACTTTGGTTTAAAACAAGTATGTAACTAGAGAGGATCGACATGCTCACATTATGAGCCATTAGCTATTTGCATGATAAAAAAGATGCAGCTTTACTATTGACTTAGTTCAATAAAAAATATTATCTAAACATAAATGCATGGAACTTGAATGATTGAGCTGAAATTCATTCTTTTTTTTTGTGTGTGTTACTTTTAGGAATGCAAGTAATAATGTTATAACATCAATTGCTGGAGAAGCCCTCCTTAACTTTATCCATCTAAAAGTTTTGTAAGTATGCAGTTTAAAAGGACAACTTGCATTTACAAATTGCATATTAGTTACCCTCTGCACCTGAGCAGTTGTCTCAAAATGAAAACTCCACATACGTAAAAAGTGTGCCTGGATTTCAGTATTAGAGAGTGAGGTTTCAGCTCCTAAAGTTGACCATTATATTGTATTGTAACAAGGGTCAGCTATGCAGGGGCAGATCCAGTGGGTGGTAAAAGCTAGTCACCCTCCCCTTTTGCTCAAATTTCTCAGTATAAGGTTAGTAACAGTTACCCCTTTTCCTCACATTCCTGGTAAAACCTTTGTACGATCATGTAATAGTCACCCTCTTCTAAAATACCTGGATCCACCCCTGCTATAAGGGATTATGCAGCAATGAATGATCCATTACCTGTGGTCAGGAATTATTATTATTAATGTTTATGATGATGATGATAACTGACTAATCTTTTCCACTTTATATTTTGTAGAGAGTTGCATGTTAACATGATTGAAACCATTGGTGCCAAAGTCTTCTACAACATTCCAGAACTACTGCACTTGTATGTCATTAAAAATGTCAAACAATTTGTGTGTTGCGGGGGAGGGGGGGATGGGTATTATTAGAAAAAAATACATTATTAATAGCAGTTATAGCAGACTAGTAAAGTCTTAAGTGAGGGAAGGGGCTGAAAATTTAGTGCAAATTTAGCTATAGCTATAACCTGCCAGCTTCTCTCTGTGTTGTCAATTGTTTTCTCGTAATACCCAAAATTACAGGTGGTCTTGTTATTTTTTTATTTACTTAATAATGCAATTAATATTTTTATGACTGGGGAAAGGGAAGGGGGTGGTCCTGGGGGTAAAAAGTGGTGTGATTAAAAGCAGACCAATTGCAATCATACTGTTGGCCACAGCCCTGATTTTGAAGAAAGTTTGAATCACGTACTAGAAGTATATTTACCAACTGGATGACTAAGAACATTCAAATTATACCTATACTAGGGATCTAAGAGGCAACAGACTTCAGACGATAACTGCTGATGGGTACAGCTCTCCCTTCATGGATTTGCCCAAGTTAAAGTGTCTGTAAGTTGAAAATTTATTTGAATAGTCACTTTTGATTTGGTCATAACATGTTTTCCAATATTTTTATATTTATATCATCATTCTGTGTTTTTGTCATGTTTAGAATTTTGATGTACCAGCAGAATCGTTACCAGACACAACATGTCATGTATAATGCATTCAATAATTTACCAGAACTTGAAGATCTGTGAGTAAAAAATCTAAATCTAAAATCTTAGTATTTTACCTGCCATATTTACTCGCTTCATTACATTGCTTGTGCTGGGGATGACGGTGGGGGGAGGTGGTTTAGGTGACAAAAGAGCCTTTCCACTCATCCCCAGCTCCCATGCCCAGTGAGCCTGACTATATACCAGGTACTGATTATTACTTCTTGTATTTTTTTTTCTGGAATAAAATCATTTGGGTTTGATTTATTTTGATTTCACAGTTGGCTGACAGACAATGAGCTAACAAACTTCCCTCATCCTGCCTTATCTGGTCGGTCAATGCCCATCAAGTATCTGTAAGTATATAAATTTTTTCTAAATTTAATTTTTCAAATCTTAGTTTCTTATTCATTCATTGATCGATGCATATTTATGCAATTAATTCTTACCTCGTTCTCTAACCCATCCATTCCATTTATCTGATTATTTATTTATTCATTGCATCCATTCGTTCATCCACTCAACATATTGTTTTGCAGGCATTTAGAAAAGAACAAAATAAACTCTTTGACAAGTTTTGCTAGCACAGCTTTTCCTCCTGACCTTCAGCCATTGCACGGGTAAGATTTTTATCTTTAATGATAATGTGCCAAACTGTTAAAAGGCACCAGTTCATACTATAAACCAAATCCACTTGCCTGGGTGTAATGTCTGAATTCCCATTTCATCACGTGTCATTCCCTTGAGAATAAGACTCTTTGTTGTTTGACTCGTTTCTATCAGCCACTCCGCAGTTGAGATTGAGTTGGCAATGCAGTGCATTTTTGGGCTTTTTAAAGGAAATACTTACGTTAATATTAATGTATTTTCCCATACACATCTGTTCAATCAACTCATACCCTAGAGAATGACACGAGTTCTGAAATAGAAAAATCTAATTCCCTATTGGATTTTGGCTATCAAAGATTCTTTTTGGGGGCTTTATCCTTATATCACACAATCGACTGAGCAACCATTCGGCAGTTTACAGTTTAGTACAACACATACCGTAAATGATGTCTATTGTAGGAACATCAAAAATGATAAGATTTGCAGATCTGGTATTAAATCTTCCTCTTGAATATGTTTAACAGTGGTCTCGAAGCAAGTCACAAACCATTTGAGAAGCTAACAACTATACAAAGACTGTAAGTAGCTGATACGCCATCAATCTTGTAATTAGCAGAAAAAAGGTAAATAGAGAGTTTTAGATTGAATTTTTTTTTCTCCCCGCAAGCGGCAAACGTGACCACGTTTTCATAGTTTTCCTGTATTTTACTTTACTATTTACAAACTTTCTCCCCAAGCGCAGATAATCTTTTGTTTTTCTACTACTTGGACTTTTTTGAGATTCTTTTTCAGTCATTTAAAATAATTTTTTACTGGTCAACTAACGTTTCACCTTTGCCGTGAACGTAAATCTAAAACTCTCTAATGTTGCGCTTGGGTACTTACTTTTTACCTCTGGGGTCGCGGGTACGATTTTTGACCTCGACATCTTATGACAGTATACGTAGAGTTCCTTTGATTTCTCCTTTGATTCGACAATTGCTCTCCAAGTTTTTCGGTTTTTTGCCTTCCATAAAACCTAACAAGCTAAATTCCAATTCCATCGGCTAGTTTACAGTAATATCCTGACTTTGACTATCCCAAAGGATTGCTTTAGAGATTACCTGTGCCCTGAATCACTCCAGATATTGCTCAGGGTTCAATAAACTTAAAAGGTTTTGTGCCATTGTCCAACTGATGGATTTTTGTTTTATTTCAGCTTCATACATCGTAACGAAATCTCCACTATCGATAAGGAAGACATATGGTATCTCAGTTCGCTAGAAGAACTGTACGTATCTTCTGATGTACTGGGGCATATCCTGGTGAAGGTCCTGTGTCCTTGTACCCACTCCTCATTAGCAATTTATTTTTAACCTACGTGCAGTTTATTTTTAAACTAGAAGTAGGGAGGGGTGAGATGTTTTGTGGTCGATCTACTTTAGAAAAATCCTAGATGTGCCCTCCAAGGGGTTCTTTAATCGGTTATTATCTGTTTGGTCTTGTTAGATATGCTGACGTCAATAAGCTTTCCAATGCAACTGTTCATCCTGACGCCTTCAGGAATTTAACTTCGTTGACGAGACTGTAAGTAGAAAAGCTTTTTTTACATGAAGTTTTACTTGTCTCTCTTTCCTTGCTTCTCCGTCCTTTCTTCTTTACTCCCTCAATTTTCCTTCTCTCTCAGGTTTTCCAAACTTTTCTTGTCTATGTTTCATCCGTTATCTTTCTAACTTTTATTGCCTTTTCTTCCATGCCTATCTTTAGTTCTTTGTTTTCTTTGCTCTTCATTCGACTTATCTTCCTTGTCTTCAATGCCTTCTCCATCTTTCTTTACCCCTCATGCTTGAAGATATTAAACTTTCATGTCTTCCTTGGCTATCATTTTCCTCTTCATTTAACCATCATTGTTTTCCCTGTCCTCCATACTTGTCTCCACACAGGTAGCCCAAGCCTGGTTTCTGTGGTGTCATGTTATAAGGAAATGTATGGGGATTCATCAAAAATTTCATTGAAACGTGAAATAAAGCCTCGAAATTTTACCCAATCATTGAGAAATAACACTTCTTTCGCTCTGTTTTCTTAGAGATCTAGAAGCAAACCAGTTCCATTACGTACCTCTCGCAATCACCACGAAGCAAAGATTACCACAGATAAGACACATGTAAGTGTGATCCATCCATTATTAGTCACGCATCCAACGAGTGTTCTATATATCATCAATGCTGCGTTCTGATTCTTTCTTTCTTTATTTTGCACTCATGATATATACTTTATACTTTACAATAACAAAATAGATGATAAATTAACAAGTAAAATATAGATAGTGAGAAAAATAATTATGAGGTGCTGGATGACCTACTACTAGGCTATAAGTTATATCCTCCTAGTAGCGTAAGTGTCGGCTTTGAAGACCAAAACATGAAATTTAACTTTGATTCAAAACTTGTTTGAATCAATATATTTGAGCAAGGTAATATGAAGTACTTCATATTCGCTTGATTTGACGGAGTAGTTGGGTTTGACTGAAACCATTATTCCTTTCGCCCTTATGGTCTATGATTCAATAGCACATTTGGGCTCAAGGATTAATTGCTAAATAGACGTCATCATTCCTATCACATATATTTATCAGTATTACATATAATTATCAGTTGAATTTTTCTTTTTTGCTAGTGAATTATCGTACAACAGGATAACCTACTTGTTAAAAAGTGTCTTCAGTGAACTCGACACCCTGACAGAAATGTACGTACTCCATTGAACTTCATTTACGATCTCGAACGTTTCGAAGCCAGAGCAAATATATATGTACATGTAACAATAATTTAAAATAGACTGCTAAAAAAATGCTAATTCATGAGCATTTAGAAAGTGTAAGGGATCCCGAATTTTCTTTTTACCGAGTTTTCTGGATCTGTCTTTATTAGGGATATTTCTGGAGTCACCGTCGGAAGCAAAATGACATCCCCAGGGCTTGGTTGTACGAAGGATTTAGCCGTATCCGGCGGGTAAATCCTTTTCCAGTGAATAAGTCGATGCTGTTATCCAATAAATTTATCTACTGGATAAGATTTATCCGTTGCATAGCGCTATCCAGGCTTTGTACAACCGGGCATAGTATTTTAGTGGTCTTGAAGATGACCACTGAAGTCGAAAGCTTCCCTTTTTCAAAAAGGCAGTTTACGCCCAATGTCTGGCTTTTTGTACTTTTTGTGAACCAGAAAGTTATACTTTTATAATTATACAACTTTTGATCTAGAGTAATTGTACTACTGTATGTTATTTGATTTAAACGTTCAGACAGCTGGACAGCAACAGGATAATAGCCATTGAAGATGGAGCATTTCCTCCAAATCTGAATCGAATGTAAGTAGGTGGGGTTGAATTGCTTCATGCAGCCATTTATTTGTTCGGTTTTTCTGTTGTTGTTTTTTTTTTGTTTTTTGCTTGTTTTCTTCCTTCCTTCCATTCTGAAGTCCTTCCTTCCTTCCATTCTTGAAGTCATTCCTTCCTTCCATTCTTGAAGCCCTTCCTTCCTTCCTTCCATGCTTTCGTTTCTTCCCTATTTTTCTCTTTACTTATACATGCAACGTTATCAGTCGCCCGTCTCGATGAACTATCAATGTATAATCATATTTTACATTTTAGATATCTCTTTAACAACCTTTTCAAGTTCAAGCACGAAAATCCATTTACGAACCTGTCCAAACTAACTAGCCTGTAAGTGAAATCATTAATATCCATGTCCTAAGTTAGTCGCACTTTTTAATAAGAAAAATCCATCACTCTTTTACACTGAACATGGGAGACTGACTCCCGAAACAGGTCTGTAAACTTAAAAGCAGTTGTCCTGACTGTAAAAAAATATACCATGAAGCATATTAACTTTAAAACGTGTTTTGATAACCAGGGAACTGGGAAAGAATGCTATTGATGTCCTTCCTAATACTGCCCTCCATGGTCTAACGAGCCTCACAAGACTGTAAGTACCACTATGTCACCAAACAGAAATATTAAGGATTTTGTTTTGCAACCAATGGAATAGGAAAAAACTAACCAATAGCATTGCTTTAATTGGGAAGGTATTTGCGAGTTATGACGGTTTTTTTTCCTCTCCTATGAACTGTGTTTTTCAGAGCGGAGCTTACATAACCATTTGTTTAGCTAGAATGGGCCTAAAAACAACCTTTGGGTTAATGGAAGTCAGGGTTCGGCTGAATAAAAAGTTCAAATTGTAAATTTTAATTAAATTAAGTTACAACTTGTTAGGTTTTACGGAGGACCCCCCCCCCCCCCCTTCCCTCCGCCGAAAAAAAGAAGCAGAAAAAACTCGAACGAAGGGAGAGACCTAACAACTACATTTACATGTGATGTGTACTTCAGGAATAGAACACAAGACACCAGAGGTGAAAAACAAGTGCACTAAAACAACCTCAAATATATAGAAAAGCCAATCCACGAGTCGCAGGTTCCATGGATGTCCCTTCCTTCCTGGCTTTTGCCTTGTGGCTTTCCTTGCAAAGTTGCCGTAATTGCTGAAATTTTTGACTGAATTGTTGGTGGTTTATTTTATTAGAGATTTAAGCAACAATAAGCTTGGTCGCATCATGAAAGTAGCTTTCAAGGATCTAACAAGCCTGCGATACTTGTAAGTGATCATATATTAAATTAATATTTAGGGTAGATCTGAGCTTGCTCGTTCTTTCGTACATTCTTTGCGTCGTTACTATAATAACTTTGTAATAAACTTGACGTTTTCCACTAGATTATTGCGCCATAATGACCTGACATACATCGAGGATGGGACGTTTGCAGTAAGCACACATTACGATGAAATGTAAGTATTAAGACGGGAGAGGCCTAGTCAACATTGCAGTCACCCCCCCCTTCCCATATCTTACCTTATTTACCTCATTCTGTAGCCCCATCTAGCTCATTTTGTTCTGGCTTGAGTTTTACATATTTGCTATTAAAATATCTTACATACATGTGCCGTTGTTATGATGTGACTATCTTTTTGTCCCATGTAATATTTCTTCTTGTATTCATCCTAAAATATTTGATTCCAGACTACTGCATCACAATCGTCTTACTCGCTTGCCTGCAGGTGGAGACTTTTCCAACAAAAGGATAGATCGACTGTAAGTGTTGATAAGGCATGGCGTGGTTTTGTTATCATTAGTGGTCTGACTAAGACTGACTTTTAGTATGTACACGTTGAGATGTGGCAGAACAATCTTTCGTTTTTCTTATTGCTTGCAGGCGTTTGGACAACAATCGTTTGACATCAATTCCTACTAACACATTTATCAATACAACATGTGTTGGTAGCTCGCAATGTAGCTCGGAAGTCCGTGAAGCTTCTCAAAGAGTTTGGTGAGAGTAAACAAAATGCTTTAAGTAATATTTCAAACACGCGAGAGAGTTCTTCCTTTGATTTCCAAACACCGAAAAGTGAGTTGAAAAAACGAGGCGCAGTCGAGTTTTTTTAACTGACTTTGAGGTGTTTGGAAATCAAAGGAAGAACTCTCTCAAGTGTTTCAAATTACTTCTCAAACTCATGAATATTTCTTGGAGAAAATCGAAGAAAACGTTTACGAAATTTAATGCAAATTAAGAACACATTTCCAAACCACCGTCACAGTAGTGATTTGCTTCGTTTTCTCCTCATTAAATATGCATGAGTTTTAGAATTTACTTTACTTTTTTTTCTGGTGAGAGTGAGAGTTGTGGTGCATAATCTATAATAGACTGTGCTTATGTGTATTCTTTCCCCCCAGGAATTTTCGCTTCAATCACATATCAAAGATCGAATCTGGTGCTTTTAACAATGCAGGAGGGCTTTACTGTTCCATGTGAGTTATCGCATATCCTAAAATATTCATAATTCAAAATTCATCATGGGCGTGCTACGAATACGGTTGTTTAACTCTAGGCGTGCGTTTGAATACAACAAATTTCATAACGTAAAAACCTCATGCCCAAAAATTCTACTCAAATCTTTTATTAGGCTGAGTAGTGGTTTCGCGCGTCGTAAATGGTCCAAAAGATTTTGCCATTTCTGCAGCTGTGAATAACGATTATCATTGTCTGTTTAGCCTGTTCACCAATACCGGACCGCCTATCAATCCTCTAACTACCATTGAGAGCCGTGGGTTTGTCAACGTCAAGGCCTGCTACATGTATGTATGACACATATATTCAAAAAATATATACATGATATATATGCAGCCAACTCTCGCCTTGCGGATACCTCGAAATTACGGAAACGTCGCTATTGCGAAAAGCAGAAAATTCTCCGGCAAAAAATATTGACAAAGAAATTGCAAAGAAATTACCGTAATTAGGGCACTGGATGCCAAAATATTGGGATCCAAATTTGACCAGATATCTCATGCCCCAAACTCAAAAAAAATATTTCGCTGCTTTATTCGTTAATTATTTTAAAAGGTCCCTTACTATCATCCTTTTTCTAGAGAACTTATGAACCTGCAACTTAAAAAACTTCACACAGCCTCCTTTGTTAATACAACTACGACTAATGACATGTAAGTTTTTCTAAACCTTTGAAACCATAGATACATTGACTACAATGTATATTCCAAGATGTTTTTTTAAGAGGGCAGGCATGTTGGATTAAGTACTCTGGGAGGGAAGGGGGNGGGGGGGGGGGGGGGGGGGTGGCATGCGGAGTATCCTTCACCTCAACCCCTAAACCTTAAGTTTTAAAAAAAATTTCAAGGAAGCTCTGGGCTGTTCAAAGTCAGGTTACGGTTAACTTACAGTGGGGATCGAATAATTTTGGAATTTATGGTATTATGTTTTGCGGTGGGAGAAAACCCCTCAAATGAAGGGAGAGACCTAACAACTGTAACAAACTCTACTCGCTTGTGTGATGCCTAGTCCAGGAATCGAACCTGAGACCCCAGAAATGAGAGGTGAGTGCAGTGCCGCTTCACCACCCTTCATATGAGCGTTCTTAGTGCATTTTAGGGGTTGCAAAAATCGAGTGAAAGTGAAAATAAAGTTAAACAAACCTAATCGTAATTTTCTTGATTGTAGTGAGTTGCACAACAATGTTATCGATGAGATCGATGAAGCAGCCTTTCAGAATGTTGTCGTGAGGAATTTGTAAGAAAAGGAAATTTTTTATTTCATTGATATTCTTATCGTGTACTAGGTTTGTCTGTTTATTTGTTTGTGCGTGTGCCTTTGTTTGTTTGTTTGTTTGTTTATTTCTTTGTTGTCGATTATATTTTTGTGTTTATTAGCTTTATGTACATTATTTATGTGTGTTTCATTGTTTGGTTGTGTATATCTTTTTGCATCCTTGATTGTTCATTGTTCGTTTGTTTACCCGTTTCTTATTTATTCAGTTACTTAATTAGTATTTATATCTGAGCCAGGTTGTTTTATACCATTTTCGCAGTAACTAATTCACAATTTGCCATTTTTCCTTAGGAAATTAGAAAACAACCGCCTACCAGCAATAACAGTCAAGATGTTTGGCGACACAGGCTCGCGAATTAACCGCAATTTGTAAGTATATAGTGCATTTGCTATGTGTTATGTCTCTCTTTCCTGTTTACTTTTTATTTACATAACAGATTCAAGGCCTAGTGGATTTTTCTTTTCTTTTCTTTTCTTTTCTTTTCTTTTCTTTTTTTATTATATGAGTTTCAATAAAGATTCGCCTGTACTGCACCCTATAAAATGCCTAAGAAGTTATTCATCCTCCAACGTTTATGTACTGTTTAATAAACGAGCAGGAGTGTTTTATCGGGTATAAAACACGAGGCGTAGCCGAGTGGTTTTAGACCCGATAAAACACGATCTGCGAGTTTATTAAACGGCTTAAAAAACTCATTGATAATTCATACGCTTATGGTCCAATTGAAGCCACCATACACGTCACGTGCATGAACCTTTATACCCGATAAAGTCCTCTTCATTAGTATTATATAAAGACCACTCGAATACTATGAGGATGACTTCATCAGGGATGAAGTATGCATCCAAGTTTAGATGAAGACATAGAGCTTCATCAAGGTCATAGTCAACCCTACTGATCTTTGACTAACGTGCCTGTCTTTGCCTTGGCACGCAATATCCAACGTGTGGGAGCTCTATTGAATCTGGTTGCGCATGCCCATGACGTCAAATCTCTATCGAAGTATAAAAATCCATATTCGTGACGTGTATGGTGGCTCCAGTTGAACCAAAATCTTGTGAATTGTTTATGAGTGTTTTAAGCAGTTTAAAAAACGAGTAGATCGTGTTTTATCAGGTATAAAAGCACTCGGCTACGCCTCGTGCTTTTATACCTGATAAAACACTCCTACTCGTTTTTTAAACACTACATAATAATAAATATGTCTATATGTGACCGAATATTGTAAATACGTGGTTTTTGATTTCGCTTCAGGCGCTTTCTCCTGTGATTGTACACTGCCGTTTATATTATAACAAAAGCTTGAAGGTCCAAAAATAAATTTCCCAAAAGTCACTAGGGATATTTCATGGTAATGCCCCTCAAAAGCAACCTATAACCTTGATTGATTTTGCTTTTCAGCCACCTTTCCAACAACAGGATCAAGACCTTGACAGAGAAGGCATTTATTGGCCTTACGTATTGTAGATACATGTAAGTAATATTACTTTTTTTTATTATCATGTTAGTATTCGGGGTCTCTTTATCAAAGGGAAACGGCTGATATTGAGGCGATTAGCCCATTTTCTTGCCGTTTGTTCGTTCTCGGTCCTCTTCAGTATTGTTAATTAATAATGTAGATGGTCAAAGAAATAATTTAATATCGGAGAGGCCAGTGAGAGAGATTTCTAAAGGAAACAAACAAAAGATTAATCTTAACATGGTTTCTAGTGAAGTAAACCATACCTTCGCCCACTAAAAGAAGAAAAAACATGGTCTTGTTTTAAACTTGCCTTTTGTTTAGTTGCCTTTACGAGGGTCCGGGGCCCGACCCTTGAGGGATACCTTTGAGGGATGCCTTGTGTTCTAATAAACGACTGTTCTCCAGTGGTGCAAAATCATATTTATTTAATGATCTTGTTTTACGTACTAGATACATGGCTCATAACCGACTTGTAGCAACGCCTTTCAAGCAGTTCAAACACATCAACCCAGAGACACTGTAAGTAATCAAACTGCCTTTGGCGAACTCGTGGATACTACCCTGTGCCCTTTCTGTGCATAGTCGTGTTGACGTACCTTCGTAATCATACAGATCAAAGTAATTCGCTCGATCAAAATGCTCAAATATATCAAATAATTGGTAACCAACTAACCTTAATGAGATTTGAAGCGAATTCCGTTATAAATCGATATTTCAGAACTTTACACTCGGTGTGATGTCGGTTTCGATCGCATATCACTTCTTTTGATTATCATGACTTTTTGTCCTTTGGCAATGGAAAATAAATTCCTCAAAAAACTAATTTTGGCTGTAGTATTTTTAAATATGTACTGAAGAGTGCTTTTTCACGAACCTTTCAAGTCGCGAATCTGCAAAAATCTGAACTGATATACAAATCGACGATACGATTGTATATCAGCGATTTCTTTCTTATATCAAATAAAAATTTGACCCGTTGAAACTCCAGTTTAGGCGATTATTTCTTATTTAACATCAACCTACATCTTTCATTGATTCCTTTGATATAAACAACGTCAGGGTTTATAGAAAATTAATAGCAAATTTGTTTTCTCATAGTTAATAGTCAGTTGCAAATTTAGAAACGATATTATATAATGACATCACACTCATTAACATATTGGAAGTATAAACCTTGATATCTTCAAGATGCACGTCACTCATAATTTATATTATTCACAATCTTATGATGGATGAAGAGTAAATTCTCGTGCAATGTGATTGGTCGGGCGTATGCCTTGCCGTGTCATAACCGTTATCGTGCCGTGAGCTTTTCACAGTCATACGAAAACTGCTCTGCTGAAAATATTAAGTTAGGTGGTATAGGCACTTTAAAGGTGCAATATTCTATCTTACTTAACTGACATGTCTCATATGATTTCCTTTTAGAGATCTACGAGATAACCAGATCCCAACCATTACCCCTGGTGAACTGGATGCCTACACTAATATACACTGGCTTTACCTTCACAATAACAATATCACAAGGCTGGATAAAAACCTGTTTAAAAACCAAGGCGCTTTGTATTTGCTGTAAGTATTCTTTTTGTCCTAGGGAAAATCATCGAATTTATTTCTCGGATATATGCGGTAACTAGTTGCTCTGAGGCTCTTGCGCTCCATCTACTCTGTTTTTAAACTTAAAAGTTGTATTAGCGCGAGAATACGGCCCAGTGCTTCTCTAATGGTGACGGGAACTACATTCGAGAAGAACTGGAGCAAACTTAAAACCAGAGTATACAGTATGTGCAACCATGTGACTCAAAGTCCCTTGAGATATGAATAACAATATGAAACAACCGCCATCTTGGTTGATCTAACAAGAGAAGCTAATGAAGAATGCTTTGTTATCGTAACCGAGAGGGTGTTTATGACGTAACGTCCACATGCTCTATATGTTGTAGACACTAGAGAAAAACGTTTGCGCATGCCTGCCTTTCATCACGTTTTCTAAGAATTTAGAAGAGTTTGAGGGAGAAAAAAAATGTTTGTTTCCTCCAAGTATGCAAAAAAATTCGCTGGTATACTTTTGTGAGGCCAAGATACACTCTTAACAAACACAATATGAAAGCATTGACACTAAGCATTGACGCTAAGTTTTGGCATTTTGTGTAGTCCAATTTATCAGGCATGTTTGAAAGTCATATTTACATATTTTTACGATAGCATGAAGACTAATTTGCATACGGACGCAGAGCATGAGCTGAGACGTCTTTCACTCGTTTCTATGTTGTACTGTTCTACTTATCCAATATCGGAGAGTCCGGAGTAAACCCTCGAATAAATAAAGAGACCCAACCCATCTTTATTAACGTGTAAAGTCGAGTCCAGAGATGGAAGCTGAGACTCAGTGTCGAGTGACAAGTGTAGTGTCATTACACCACCTTTCATGCAATTTTGAACGGGAGTTAAACATTACGGTAGATTCTTAATCAACGAATGGTATTCATGTCGTTTTTCCACTTTTTTTGGTTTTTAGCGATGTCAGTGGGAACGCCATCAGTGTGTTAGAGGAAGGTGCTTTTAACAACATGAATTCTCTCGATTATTTGTAAGTTTATCTTTATATCAAGTACAAAACCTTTTGGGAAATAACCTTTTTTATAAAACGTAAACTTACTAGCATACTATACTATACTACTCACTATCTATCCTGTGTTAGCATAAACCTATTAGCATACTATCACGAATCCTGCAATCTGATTGGCTAACGCACTAACCGGCTAACTATCCTGTGGGCAGTAGGGAAAACAAACGCGAAAAAGCGGCCGTCAGATTTCACTGAGATTGTGATGTGCAAACTAAAAACGGGAGAATAACTGACTACAAGATAACGAAGACATTTTAAAATGACTTCCTCAAAGAACAGAAACAATCCAGAAGACAACTTATTCACATGTATTCAAGAAGAACTTTAAACGGTCAAAACAGACAAAACACTAAAGAAAGTGCAAGTTTAACTGGCAAGAGGCTTGAGCGAATTGTAAACATGGCACGGCTTTGAGTGAGGTGCCAGACAACAAAGTGTTTGTAAATAAATCCGTTCAGTTTATCATTCATTCAATTAGAAAGGTTCCCAAAAACAGATAAAAAGGTGAACATTTTTGGAAAGACAGTTTTGACTGCAATAATAGAGACAAAAAGCTATAGAAATACAGCAAGTTTAAATTCGTTGAGCTCAAGTCGAGTTCGTAAAGATGAATGAAAACAGTGTCGCCGGTTGCAACCGTCGTTTTGTACAGTAAAGTTTTCAGTGTCATTCTTTGTTTTCCATACTATAACATTAGCTAGTAGGTTTATGCTAAAACAATTAGACTACTCGTTCTCGTTTTCTATGAGCCAATAGTCGATTCGGCGTTACGCGCTTCATCGACTGTCTATTGACTCTTAGAAAACCCGATCTCGTAGTCTAAGGGGTTTCGTATAGGATGGGGTAGGGCAAGATAGCCTTACGTAATTTGGGATAGGTAGGGTGGGTTGAGGTAAGATGGGATAAAATAGAGTTGGATAGGGTATAGAATTGGGTTGGTATAGCATGGGGTAGGGTGAGATGGACTGGGGTAGTATGGGATAGG